GACGTAGCACAAGAGGAAGCAGATGTGGTAAATGATGTAGATGCATTGGAAATCGAAGTAGGAGGAGTAGTTTCAAGGATAGACCCGGAATTTATAAGGATAGTCGGTAAACCTTTAACAAAGATAGGAGAATCTATTGCGGGAGTAACTTTAGAGGGGCTTGTGATTAAAAGAAGTGGTGCGAGACTTGAGGCTGCGTCACCTCTAGAACCATGAGAGGATTTCGTCGGATGGATAACGAAGTGAGGAGAAATTTGGGATGGTTTCGATAAAGGCGGAGGTGGAGTGGTGATCTTGGCAGAGTGGTCGACTGCAAAGGGGGAAAGGAAGCCAGGTGGCGATCCGGATTGTCCAACCGAAGCACCTAACATATATTCACTGCCAAGACGATGGAAGTTACTTTGTTCTACTTCCGAGGTAGGCAAATTAGAATCAGGCAAAAGTGCTGTGCCTGTCAATGCCAAACCAGAAGGAAGTAGCAAAGGACCAGGCAAGGAAATATAAGTAGAAGGAATACACGAAGAAAGATCAGGTTGCAGGCTTGACGATGTCGATGACAGCTGGTTTTGTCTAAGGTTCTGGAATAGGTCAGAAGAATACACGATTTCTGGTTGCTTTGTAATACTTGAAGGCTGGTGGGAACCAGTTAAAGACTGCTTATCTGCGCCACTATGGGTGGTTCGTGTTGAGGCCTGGAGAATGAAGCAATAAAGGTAAATAAAGAAAAGAAGAGATGAAACTAAAAACAGAAACGGAAGTGCATGTGTGATGCTGTATTCAGAAAAAAATGAAGCCTTCATTCGATGGAGAAATAACCCCTTGTAAGCCAACTAGTTAAATTATATCAGAAAAGGAGCAATAAAAAAGTGCTAAACTTAATTAAAGTCACTATTAAAAATCGGTAAAATAAATCGGGTAAAAATTATGTGAATTTTTTTAAGGCTAGGGCTTGTAATGTCCGAGAGCAACCGATTTTACAAAAGGGCAAGGCGGATAGTAGTTTAAACGATTGCTTAAAGGCTGCTAGCCAGTTTCTTATTAATCCTGGTTGTCGCGCTAAAGTTTTGTGTCAATTCAATGAGGAATGTGTGGATATTCTTTGGCATAGATGCTGTGACCTAAATACCAGCTAAATGTCGGATTTGCCGAAATTTGGCATTTGATTTTTTTGCAGTATGGGAATCCTGGTCTTTTAAGCTTAATCAGTTTAAATAAAATCTATCACTAACGATATGGTGCATAACAAACAAAAATAGGCTTTTTAAGTACAGTAAGGCAATTTTCATGTTGTAATGCTCACGGAAGTGATTGTTAAAAAAGGAAATCTCGTAGAGCATATCTTGGCGACTGGTGCAAATGTGATTAATACAAATAAAATATATTGTGAGATAGAACCCAGCTGATAGAATTAAAAACCTGTCCAAAGCTCATCCGTTCCAGCTAACCTTGAAGATAGCATATATATATATATATATATATACATATAATTGAAGACCAGAAGATTGTGACCCATGATTTGGTCGTAGTCTTCTTCCGCTGTATATAAGTGGTTAGGCCCAGTTTTTGCAACTTGGTCATATTTTCAGGGCGATCTAGTTAAATGCATGTTTTTCGAAGTCCAATGCTAGAGTAGTTATGATAATCCTAATGCCAGCAAAACTTTTGGGAATCTATCAAGTCCAGGGTTTGACGCTAGGAGTTATCACAACTATTGAAGCAGAGGACTTCGATTAAGGTGCGTTCATCTAGGTCACCCCAAAAGCACGGCCAAGTTGCGAAAATGCGTTTAAACCACATATATCTAAGACTTGCCTATGGAGCTAGTCCATTTTCAAGGTAAATATATATATACCTAGACGATTTTTTAAAAATAATTATAGATGCAACATAGTAACTAATTAATTTTAAATTAAATTAATATGTTTATTTAAATCAAGTTTGAAAATAATAAGCAAACTATAAGTGACGAAAATGTATGTACGTGGATAGAGAATATAAACAAGAAGCGAAATCTACTATAACTAAGTGCGCATTTATTTGCATGGTACCATTTGGTGGAAAGAAGTGTTAAGATCGAAGATCAACTAGAAGTAAACGGTAAAAATGCTGTTTAGGCTAGGCGGAAATGTTGAAGGCAAATTGCTATTATGATGGAAAGCAGTCCACCTTAATAAATTAGACCAAGCTCACTATTTTTGAGTTTTCTGTTTGGATTATAGTTGCTAAAAAGAAGTTAAGTGCGACTTTCTAACATAGCCCTAGCCTATGCTACAGAAATTTACCCTATGTAATCTAGTCAAATTAGTCTAGATGATGAAGTCTATGAAGGCCTATTCCATTTGAATGTCCCAGCAATCCTGGTATCGGTTGAGGTGACTTTGATTTCGTGTGAAAGTTCCTGATGAAGAGATCAATATGTTGATCACATCAGATGACAATGGTTGCTTCATGTTTCACTGAAGTCATTTGATTTTGCTATGAAGTTCGGAATAACGCAATCCTCGAGCCACTCCCTTTCGGTTCAGATGAAAAACTTTCATCCGTCATATGACAGATATAATCACAGCTGGATCTTATTCCTA